TACCGTACTCATCGATCTAAGTAAACTCATCAGACCGAGCGTGGGAGCAAGTGCTGCAGGCCCTACCCCCAGCCAGTCGAACAGGAGCGCTCCACGTTTAGGGAGGTCGAGGAAGGCGAATGGCAGCTCAGACCCTGCTGAGTCTCCCCTTTCCAAACTTCGGTGCCAAATAAACTCTTCTCCTCCTGATCTGGCGGGTCTCTGCAACACGCGACCTGGAAATCCTCTCGCTAACCCCCACAAAAGGCCCCGGGGAGGCGGTTCAAGGGACACAGTCACATCGTCACACACAGCTAAACTGACCTGGGGCAAACAGGCGTCAGTGGGTAAACTCCCCCGCGGCACACCCTCACGTAAGGCCACTTGGGAAGGCATGGAAGATATTCTAAGGACGCTCTGGGTACTGAGGACACCGTGGACGGTGAGGACACTGGGCAGAGAGGATACTCTGGGCAGTGAGGGCGTACATACGTGGTGGACAGTGAGGACATTGGACAGTGAGGCCACTGGGTGGTGCGGACAATGTGGGTAGTGAGGACACTGCACAGTAAGGATATTCCGAGTAGAAGGACACTGTGGACAATGAGGACATGGTGGACAGTGGGGACACTGTGGGTAGTGAGGACAATGGATGGTGAGAACACTGTGAATGGTGAGGACACTGGGTGGTGAGGATACTGTGGACAGTAAGGACATTGTGGGGACAATGAGCATGCTATGGACAGTGAGGACACTGAATGGTGGGGACACAGTGGAGAATGAGCACTCCATGGACAGTGAGGACGCTAGCAGTATAGACGTGCGGACTGAGGATGCTCAGAGCAGGGCTTCGCAGGCAATGAGAGGTGGTGAGGACGCTCTGAGGCCAGCTCAGGGATTGTAGTGTCCTCAGTGCACTGATCATGCTGTGCTGACATCCTGCAGAGCAGTTAGGGAATGACTGAGGTTGGGTGACCCTGTATGGGAGGACAATCGGGTGGGGTCTGTTGGTTCATCTGGGACCCCCAAGTGAGAAGTTGGCCTCTGGGGGGTGGGTGGGGCCAGGGTAATGAAGCTATGGGCACTGGGGGTCCTTGGAAGGCCCCCGCAGGTGTGAGTGGGCACCAGGGGTTGCAGGGTCTCTGGAATCGTGACTCGAGTGAGCCAGGGTCCCCAATGCCCCTGGCCCCTCCAGGTGCCCCAAATCTCCTCCCTCCCGCCCTGCCCCCATCCCACAGCAGCAATTGCAGCCTCTGGCCCCTTTTGGCAGACTGGCAGCCCACTCCTGCCAGCTGAAAGCTGTCCCTATCCCCGACCCCACAGCTTCCACCTCCCCAGGCTTCCAGGCTGGGCCACCCTGGCTATGCCTGCAAGCTAGGCCTTTGCACATGCCGTTACTTCTGCCTGGTACATGGCACCCATCCCTGCTGCTCCCTGCCCATCTCCTGCATCTCCAGTGAGTCCCCCACTCCCGCTGCTTCCCTCAGGAAAGCTTCTCTGACTGCCCAGACCTGCAATCGGCTCTCCAGTGTCTGGTCCTCCCACTGTCCCGGCCCTAACCCTGGAGCTGAGTAACCAGGTCCTCCGATTCCTCCCTGGGTTGGCACAGGCTGCTAACAAGGGGCACAGGACACCCAAATGAAGGGTGATGCCTTCCTCACTATTCGAGTCGGCCTGGAGGTGCCTAGGACAGGGTTCCTCTTCACCCCGTGTGGCCCCCATCCGGTCCTCCGATTCCTCCCTGGGTTGGCACAGGCTGCTAACAAGGGGCACAGGACACCCAAATAAAGGGTGATGCCTTCCTCACTATTCGAGTCGGCCTGGAGGTGCCTAGGACAGGGTTCCTCTTCACCCCGTGTGGCCCCCATCTGGCTGGCCCTGTGAATAATGCAGGCTGTTCTCTGTGGACCCTAAACAGGACCCCAGTGAGGAGCCTCGGGCTCCAGCTGCCTGGCACAGGAAGGCCCCCGGTCCTCACTGATAGCCACTGACTGCCACTGACCGGGTCGGGGAAGCTGTCGCTGACACGGCCTTTGTCCTGGCCTTTGTGGCATGAGACGGATGGCCCTCCCGTAGGGCTGATGCTATCTTCAGGCTGCCGGTCAGACGTGAGTCAGGAGCCACCCCCTCCTTTGTGGGCAGGTACGGGGCATCCGGCTCATTGTGGGCTGCAGCTGACTGTCCGGACGTCCATCCGGCCTTATCACTACATCAGAGATGGTAGTCCCCTTTGTACAAATGCACTTCCCAACTTGCTCTCCCCAAGGGTGGCCCAGAACCCCCAGAATCCCTGGTGGAGGTCAGGGGTAACAGTCATCCGAAAGTACACAGGCAGCTCCCTAAATTCTGTCCAAACACAGTGCAAGGAAGGGGTATGCCATCTACTTTCCAGAGGAAGAAACCAAATCCCAGAAGGGGACTTCCTGCTGGACCCCAGAGATTTCTTAGTGGTTGTACTGGGAGCAGAGCTGAGACAGGCTCCTGGTACCCCCACTTTCCTCCCTGAGGCCTTCAGGGGGCAAATGTAGGGGGCAAATGCAGAGCCCAGGAGAAAGTGGCCAGGATGTCCTAGGTGACCCCAAGCTAAGAGAAAGAGGCGCCCCTGGGCTGTGGGATGAGGCCCCAACAGGAGCCCAGGCCTACTGCCCTCAAGGCTTGAAGACTCTGGGGCCAGTGTCTCCTTGAGAGGGGTGCATGGGGGTCCTGAGGGCAGGAGCTGCAGAGGTAGGGATCTCCTCTGATAGGGAAAGCAGTTGGAGTCACAGTGTGGTCAGATGTAAGGAAGAACTTCCTGCTCATTGGTCAATGGTGCAACTGAACCCCATGGTTCCCAGAGGATCCCCTGTCTCACTGGTTCTCCAGGGTACTGACTACAGGGGGGCCTGCCTGGCCTCACTGGCTGACCTTCTCCCACAGCTTGGGAGCCCCAGTCCCAACTCTTGACCCTGAGCTGACCCTCCATTTGCTGGCCCTGGGGCCTCAGCCTCCAAAGAACGTGGGGAAGTGAATGGTCCCAGTTCAGCGCCCCTGAATGGACCTATAGGGGGTAAGGGGATGCACACCCCTCCCCACAGACCAGGGACCTACGGTGCCCCTGCCCGTGTTCCATAGACAACACACCTGCCCGGGGGCCCCTTCCCCACTGATGAGCTGCTCCCCTCTGTGGCCTTCTAGGAGGGAACAGATCAGGGGCCTATCAGGGCCCTGTCCAGCCCCCTGCACCTCCAGCCCCCAGGCTGGCTGATGGGGGCTTCTTGCCCTGCAGCTCAAGGACCTCGAGCGCACACTGCCCACCCAGCTTCCCTGGGCTCCCAGGATCTCAGCCTTAGGTCAAGGCCCAGCCCCCGGTGCAGCCTCCATGCCTTTGCCTAACCATTCCTTTGGCCCAGAGTGCCCTTCCTGTTGTGACTATGTCCCCAATACTCAAGGCCCCGCTCAAGCATGTCCTTGCAGGGTGCTTCCCAGCCCTGTCCTGGCCTGACACATGACGCAGGACACTGTGTTCAGGGTGGTGTCCCTGAGGTCCACCTTGGGTTCAAGTCACATCTGGGTCCTGCACACAGCCAGCTAGCAAGGGAGCGAGCGACCAAAGAGTTGGGTAGAGAGTGAGCCCCAGCAGGGTCACGGCAGCCAGGGGTAGAAACAGCCGTAACCTCCCGCTGGCAGCCTCATGTGTGAAATGGGTGGGTGGTGCCTGGGCTGTGCACCTCCTCACCCTGGTGCCCCAGTTCTGTCCTCCCCTCAAGCACTGCAACCCCCGGCGGGCACCAGAGGGCGCTCGCGGCCTGCAGAAAACGCCTGCGATGGGGCCAGTGCAGACAGAGGTGGGCGCTGGGGGTGCAGACAACTGGGGTCTGCGAGAAACAGACGGGGAGATGGGGGAACTTGTCTGGGCTGGAGAGCGCGGCCACCGAGAGGGGCAAGCAGATCGCCCCCTTGTGGGACCACGGGGAGGGGGCACCAGGCGGC